ACGCTGTGGGGGGAAAAAAACCCACATAAACACTCCTTAACTCATAAAACAGTTTAAGACTGACTGTACCTTATTACCCACAAGATATCATTAATAAAAATGGAAGAAGACTTCTCTTTATTTTTATACCAAATTAACCATTGTTTCATGAAGACAGAAGACAACCAGTTTAGCAGTTAGGTGAGATAATCCTTTCATATATCTGGATTATTTATTTATTTATTTTTCAAATTTATATATGCCACCCATCTCACTGTGCAGGTGACTCTAGGCAGCATTACAAGTGAAAAACAAAATGTTACAAAAAAATATACAGGTTAAAAACTGCAAAAGGTTAAAATTAAAACTGAAAAGTTAAAACTACAGTGCAAACTAAAAAGGCAGAGAAAGCATTATCTTTTTGAAATGGAATATTTTTATGAAACAAACATGTTTTGGAGACACTCCGTTTACAAGATCATTTACCTGGGGGTAGACAACTTTATTCCCCCACACCACTTAATTAATAATAACCTTGGGGAATAGGATTTAATTTGGTGAATTCTCAAATTGTATTGTTTTGCTTTTGAGCAACAATGTATTGAAAAATTCAGATGAAGGTAGAATGCAATACCCATGAGGGTTTGTGGTGGAGAATGGAGAAAGCTCCACTTGCAATATAACATTAATTTTGTGGGAAGAATTGCAGAAATTCATATTGAGGACTTTGTGTCCACATTCAGAATTCAGAAGCATCACTCATTTCATCACATGAAGATTATAGCCCTTCTCCTTTCAAACAGCTTGTCTGCAGAAACAAGGATGGCCTCAATTAACACAGGGGCTTTGTGGATGGAGAGAGAGAGAAGTTAGCAGAAGTAATTCCAGGTTATTTTGGGGAGGGGAGGACTGATTGAGGACTGTATGTGTATATTCTGTCTGTTTTCCATACATTTAAAATGTATTTACTATACAGGCTGTAGTTAAGATCTTAGAGTATGTGGATTGAAGCAGCATATAAGTCCAAGTAATAAATAGTGTGTGTGTGTGTGTGTGTACTCATATAACCCCACAATCCTCAAAAAGTAGACAAAAAGAAAAGAAACCTAAAAATCACCTGAACAACATAAACTCTATGGGGCAACCACAGCTCTTTCACTGTTCATTTGTGCCCTTTGGGAAAATTCCAAATATTTGAAGCCAATTTCATCTATCCAGGCTTGTTAACAGGTAAGGTTATTAAAGGACAGTGACTACACTATGACCAAACATCTCCATTCTTTGTATTATAGTGGTAGGTGGTGGAATTAATACCAGAAATCAGTGCCTACCACAGAAGTTTTCCCATGCCAGAGCTTTCCTCAAAATTTAAGCATTTGGAAGATCTCTGGACAGGAGAAATCTTGAATCTAATTGGGTTTATGATATCAAAAAGTGTGGAAGAAGAGATGTTTTAACAACAGGATTATTTAAGAAAATACATTAACTGAGGAAACAGATACCAAGTTTGGGATTCCATCTGTTTGGTATGGAAACAGAAAGGAAAAGAAAGAACATGTACTACAAAGTTGAGAGGAGCATGCACGCAAAGCAAGATATGAGGGAATTGATTGGATAAATCTTTTTAATGAAAACTTATAATATTCTTTCACAGAGCATTAAAATGTCTTAATGGTTCTAAAAAAATACAGCCTTCATTTATAAACATGTGAAAGTCAAACTTCGAGGTTTCAGTGGTCACTACTTCAGAGATAGACGGGACGCTGAATGATGATACTGAACCTACAAAGTGAAGTTGTAACAAGGTGCAGAGCACAAAACCTTTGTACTAGAGGAAAAATTCTTAAGAACTTCAAGAACACCCAAAATTTCACCGAATCAAGTTCTAGATTAAGAATGTAGTACTTCAAAGGAAAAACAGTGAAATGCTTTGCTTAAATGCTGTTCCACCAAAAAGAAATTCTGACAAAAACAATATACACAAATGAAAATAGAGGGGCAATCAGCACTACACCAGGACATTCTTTCCCTTACTTTCCCTCTATTAGCAACAAACTAAGCAAAAACTTTACTCATCTTATTAGTCATTCAGCCTAATGAATGATCCCTGTAACAGTTTAGTGAAATAAAGTAAAAGAACAGAATGTATTCCAAGTCCAGGGTTAAGAAACCATTGGGCATGGGCATTGCAAGCACTTTTCCATAAAGTACTTCTTGTGGCACATAGAGAAGGAAGATGAGAGCTTTTCCTTCCAGCAGGACTTCCTGCATGCAGCTCATGGAATGGCATCCTCAAGCAACCTTCTCCAAAATGTGCATGCCTTCAGATATATGAGTTTCAACTCAGACTTCCTCAGCTAGCATGGCCATTGTTTGGAATTCTGAGAGTTGATGTCCACCCAACTGAATGATACCCAAAGTAGGGGAAGGCTGATTAATGAGTATACAGATTAAAGCAGATTAGTATTTTGGTTTCTGATACATATTTACACACACACACACACACACTTACACTTTATATTATAAGATTTGTATGGCCACCCATCTTAAAACACAACTCTGGGCAGCTCATAATAACAATAAAACCCAGAACTATAAGAAACCATAAAACCATAAAATGTGTGCCCCAAAAGAAAGAGAGAAAGTACCTATCAACATTTGTACACAACACATGCCAAGATCTATTTCAGTAAAGTATTTGAAAGTTGAAGCAATGTATATTTCTTATTTGTATTTCTTATTGATTATATATTGGGCGATGGG